CTTTGTCAAAGATCAGTTAATGTTGTGGGTCTGTTTGTGGCCTCTTTTTCCATTTCATTGATCTGTTTGTTCTCTTGTCAAAGATTATTGCAGCTTTACAGTAACTCTTGAACTCCAACTTTGTTCTGTCAATAATGTGTTGATAATTCTGGGTCTTTTGCCTCTCCATATAAACTTTAGAATGATTTTGTTGATCCCCACAAAATAATTTGTTGTGATTTTGATCAGGATTAGAATCTGGGAAAGGCCAATTTGCTGGGGTTCTGAAAGACTGGAGGGGAAAAGTGCTGAGTGACACAGTATGTATAGGCATAGGGTCCTTGTTCACAACTCTTCCTAGAATTTCCCAATCTAGAGACTCTACATTTTACTATTTCCTGAAAATAAATTAGACTCAGGTGGAGGAAGACAGGGTAGTTTTCCAGGGGCATAGGAAAGCTCGATGGACTGTGGAGTGAAATTTGGGAATCTAATACTTCAACAGATTTCTCCAATCTTACTATTAGCCACCACTTCCCTGTAATTCTTTAGCCTTTTGAGAGTCCTTATTTCCTCACTTCCATTTGAAACATCATGAACATTCCTATCAGGATCTGGTCTGTTGAGCTTATACCAGAATTGCTCATTAAGCTCTGCTTCCATCATTCTGAGCTTTTTCTAGCTGCTTCTCCAGACTTCCAAATTCCTCCTGCAAACTGGTTTCAGTAGCTTTGAACCCCATGGTCAGGTAGAGTCACAGCAATAACCCCACTTCTCAGTACCAATTTTCTGTGTTAGTCAAACGTTTGTTGCTAGGGCAGATGCCTGAGAGAAACAGTTTAAAGGAGGAAAGATTTATTTTGGTTCACAATTTCAGTCCATAGTTGGCTAGATCCATTGCTTTGGGCCTGAGACAATGCAGACTATTATGATGTGCAGCAGTAGGTGGCAGAGGAGGCTGCTCAGTTAGCCGTGGATGTCTTTAACACATGAGCCTTTTGGGACACTTCATATCTAAACCATAATAGAGAAATTAGATGCTTTGGCTCAGTCTACCATCTTGTACCTACAAGTTCTTATTAGTCTGTGTTTGTGAGTTGGATTTGATGTTTTAAATAATTCATTTCAGCATTTGTTTCCTTCAGTATCTGTATTTGCAGTTGAAAGTTTTAGTGGTAGTATTTAATGGAGGACTCCATAGCTGGACTAAGATAGTAAGGGTTTGGTTGGGGACAGAAGAGAATTGATAGCAAACAAAGAGAATGGTCAGTGAAAACATTTACAGACTTAAAAAAAAGTTTGGAGATCAGAGGCATAAGAAATAAATACAACTTCAGAAGCATTTGTCTTCCCGGAGTCCACTATTTTTAGTTTTTTACTTCTTATTTTTGGGAACTTCCTGTTCTACCTGTCAGAGAATCCATAAAACAACCAAAGATACAATAAAAAAAAACAACAAAAACTGAACAAAACTGTTTGCAAACATAGTATACATAGACTTTAGAAGAAAAACACATAATATTAAATAAGTAAATCTCAAAATACTCTATATTATAGCAGCAGGTTTCCATTTTAATAATTGAACTTGCTATTTAGGTGTTTTAACTGGGTTCTGAAACAGAATTTTGCCTATATTGATTCCCTTTGTATAGGCTTTTGCTGCCCTCTGTTGGTGTAATTCAGAATGTGCAGCTTTTACTTTTCGTGGATCACTTTCACAGCCTTTACTCCATCCAAAGAGAGAACTAAAACACGGATAAGTTTTTTTAAGGCAAGGTCTTACCATTTAGCCCAGGCTGGCCTGGAACTTGTGATCCTCTTGCTTCAGCCTCCTGGGTACTGGGGTTACAGGTGTGTGGCACCATACCTCTCAATAATTTTTTTAAAGGATCAATGTATTTCTAATGATGCTCCAGGCAAGCCAGGGAAACTCATGTTTATTTTTCTTTTCTAAAGGCAAGAGTTAGTGGTCATGAAATAGGAAGAAGACAGAAGAATTTAGGAAATGCAAGGATTTTGGGCTTTGAAGTCTGAACACCTGAGTTCTACACACAACTCAGCTTCTAATCACGTGATTTTGATGGTTTACTCCACCTAGCTCAGCATCAGTTTCTTCTTTCATGCAATGAATAGGTGGAAGAGTTTTTGAGGACTTTCCCAGAGATTAATGTTTAAGAGGAATAGCCTCAAGTTATAGTATTTGTTTATAGATAGCAATAATAGTGACTGTCAGGCTTTGCTTTCAAGGAATTTAGTCTGGAAACTAGTAGAGGAGGCAGACAAAGGCAGTTGTAAGGCTAGGTGCACTGGCTCAAGCCTGCAATTCTAGCTACTAAGTAGACAGAGATCTGGAACATATGGTTCCAGGCTAGCCCAGGCAAAAAGTTCCTGAGATCCACCTTCTCAGTCAGTGGTTGGGTGAGGTGGCATGAACTTGCCACCTCCAGCTATGCTGGGACCCACAAATAGGAGGTTGGAGGTCCAGGCTCACCCAGACAAAAACTAATACCCTATCTCAAATAACCAAGGCAAAAAGGGCTGATGGTGTAGCTTAAGTGGTAGAGCACCTGCTTAGCAAACATGAGGCTGTGATCTCACCCCCCCCCCCAGTACCACCACCACCGTTAATAAATAAATAAGTCCACTGTTGGTGCTTTGAGACATGCAAATACTTCTTATGGTGGAAACACAAGGAAAGGTCCTCATGCAGTTAGAGAAGCAATCATCCTGCAATGCCTATTGGAGTTAGCCTTGAAAACACATGTAGCCTGAGGGAGGCAGAAGTCTAGGGGAAATTTGAGGTGGTAAGACAGCATGATCTGTTAAAGGACATGCAACTAGTTCGGTATAGCTACAAGAGGTTGAGGTAGATGATTTGTTCAGAGACAGGCTGGAGAAGAAAACCCAAAAGAGTCATATACCATACTAAAGAATTTGGATTTTAAATTGAGGTCTGTGGGAGTGGGGGAGGGCGGGTAGTGAAGGTTTTTAATGGGAAAATAACATAGACAGCCCGGTACTTTAGAAAGGTTACTCTTGGATCTAGTATGGAGAATGGATATGGGTGGAGCGATAGGACTGAAGGCAGGGAAATAGATCAGTTAGGCTGTTGTGGTAAATCTAGCAAAAAACAAAAGTGTGTAAATTTAGGTAGTAGAGGTGGATGAAGGAGAGATGAATCCAGACTCTGTAAACAAAAGACCAAGTTGCTGGTTTCTTTAATGTAAGCTACAGCTATGAGCAATTCAGTTGCCACCGATTCTTTAGACTCAGGTTTTGTTACCTATATTGCATCTACCCCAGAGTTCTATGGTTGTTGCTTGGTTGTAAGAGAATATTTTGAGTTCGAGGGACAAGGTATTAGAATCAATTGCTCTAGGAACAAGTCAGTTTAACCTTGACTGTTGTGATCTAAGCTGAATGCATTCATTCTTTTGTGGTTTTGTGTTATTGGTCTCCTTGGGTGGTGTTCTCTCTGCCTCATCATCTTTCTGCCTTTATTCCCAATAAGCAGCACACATGAAGTAACTATAAGTTTCCTCTGTGTAAGGTTCTCATGATGATTAGCACTCAGCCAGCAGAAGCTTAACCCTTCCTCTGAACTATGGAGGACAAAGTAAAGATTCACAGTTGACATTGGATTTAAATCCAGTTGTGATATGGGGAGCATAAATGTAATGATACAGATTTTCTCTGTCCATAAAGACAATAGAAAAATAGCTTTGTGGCAGGGACAGAACTAATTTTTCATTAGTTGAGGAAAGTTAGTCAAGGGGCATTTACTGTACTCATCCATGGATGTTAACAAAAAAATATAGCTAAAATTAAGTAGAGGGAGGAAAAATCTCCTTTTCCCTGGACTTGTTCATTTAGATCTTTAAAGTTTTATATATATATATAAATTTATGTAGAAAAGAACATAAAACATACAGGGATTATAAACTGAGCACCTATTTAGCTATCATCCATGTCAAGAAACACCCCAGAAAGCACTTTGTACCTTTCCCCACTCAGAACTCTTCTACTTACCCCAAGTAATCATGCTTGACATTTGTGATAATCGTTCCCCCTTATAATTTTATATCCTAAAAAATGTAATGTAGTTTTACATTTTAAACCTCAAGGTAGCTGAAATAACTAGTATGTTTGTGTGTCATAAGTTTATTTGCTTTCTTTGCATGATTGTTTTCCATCAATATTCTAACTTATTCCTTCCTTTTTTTTTTTTTTTGTCTGTACTGGGGTTTGAACTCGGGGCTTCATGTTTGCTAGGCAGACACTCTACCACTTGAGCCATTCCACCAGAGCTTTGTGTTGGGTATTTTCAAGAGATTATCTCACAAACTATTTACTCAGGCTGGCTTTGAACCACGATCCTCCTAATCTTTCCTCCTGAGTAGCTGGGATTGCAGGCGTGAGCCACCGGTGCTCGACCTTCCTTCCTATTCTTGATTGCTATTGGGATTGTTCTCCATTTTAGAAATTATGTTGTATCTATGAACACTTTTGTTACACATGTTTTGCTACTTCTGTGCATGTTTCAGCAGGGTTAAATAGGTAGAAATTAATGTGTTCAGTTATAGTGTATGTACACACTATACTTTACTAGATAATGCCATCTGTTTTCCTAAGTGAATACAGTGGTTTTCACTAACCTCAACAATGTGTAGAGCCCCTGTTTCTCTACAACTAGACTGACATGAAAGTTTTTTCTTTCCTTTTTTTTTGGGATTTGCTGGGGATTGAACCCAGAGCCTTGTGGTTGTTAGTTTTTTTTACAATCTTAGAGTGAGAAATGATGTATATTTTAAAGACTCAGATGTCCTTAAAAACTCTTCCTGCTCCTTATCTGAGGGAATGTGCTAAACAATATTTTGGCAAAAAGTTAGCTTGTGGAAAGTAGCAAGGCCTTTCAATTTGTTTTTTCTTTCTTTCCCCACTCCCCCAACCCATTTGGTGTTTGGGAGGTTTCTTGGTATTTCACTGATCTTTTCTTTCTTTTTCCTGTGTCTTAGACTTTGAAGCGACTCATGGCAGATGAGGTAAGGAAATTTGTTTGGCATGTGCATTTTAGCTCATTTCCTATACTGTAACATTTACCAGTTTCCATAACCTAGACTTTCCTTAATGTTAATGGCGATATGGGTTCTAGCCTCAGAGCATTTCAAGGCTTTATCCTAACTCTTTGTTCTGAGTTTGACCTATTGCATGCATTTCCTTGGCACATTCATTAACTTACAGTCTAGATGCTACTCATATTACTTGAAGCACCACAGTACTTGCATATAGTTACTATTATTTTACCTGGGTCAAAATGATAAACTGCAGCATATTGGTAGCTCTTTTTAATGGCAACATCTATGGCTTGAAGCATGACAAATGGTTCATTAGTATTTGCTTGGCAAAGAGATGGCATGTATGCCCCGAAGTACTTTGTATTCTTTGCTGACTAGTTGTCAGCAAGGGTTATTTTAAAGAATGTGTATTGAACTTTGCTGCCTTTGTAATCCAAGTGCCATAGTACATATAAAAAAGAGAAAGGAATGGTTCTTGGTTTTGAGGCATTTACTTGTTTATCCTGTGTGATTTATCTATTTTAAAATCTATACTTATAGTCACCTCTTGAAGGGAGGGATCCTCTAGGGGCTTGAACACATTTATTTTTGGGTAGCTAGAAGGCAACAAAGGACATTTCATTGAGCGAGCTCTGTACATGATATACTTTCAGTTTTGTGCTGCTAGAGGACTTGGAAAAGGCAAGGGAAATTAAGAAAAAAAATCTTCTTATAGAGAGGTTTGAAATGTTAATGCTTCAATCCTCTTATATTTGGATATAGATAAGAATATAGTCAGTATGCTGTCAGATGTGAGGAAGAGTGATTTCTTTTCATATAAGAAGTCTTGAACTGCTCATGAGCCAAAGGAACCATGCATTTGTAAGAGGTTAAAAGGGTTATTTATTTGATGTATAGTTTATTATGTGAATGAGTGTGGGTTACTGCTAATATTTTTTTCTCTTTCTTAGCTGGAGAGATTTACCAGCATGAGAATTAAGAAGGAGAAGGAAAAGTCCAATTCTGCTCATAGAAATTCTTCTGCATCATATGGTGATGATCCCATAGCACTATCATTGCAAGATGATCAGGTCCTACTTCTCTTTGAACAAATGCTGGTAAGCTTCCCACCTCAAAATGCTATTTCTCCTGAGAATTCATTTATGAGCATGTTTTTTGTTTGTTTTTAAATGCATGATCTCCTTTAACTCGCTGTTCATTACAAAGGAATTCTAGGCTTAACACAGAACTTTTTGAAATTTATGCCATTGAATAAGGGATTAAATAAACAAGTACCAGTCCATAGGATTGGAATCTATGACTTAGGTTTAGAAATATCTGATCACTAACCACATTGTTAATGTCTTTCTCTCTGACAACACTTTAGCCATAAAGACATGGTGCAAAAGATTCATGTGCTAGTGTGGAGACCATTTTTGAGTTAAGCCAGAGTAGATGAAGTGAGGAAGCATTTACATTGAGCTCTACACAAAGAAATTGAGGAGTAGAAATTTATCATTTGGGGTTCACAGCATGGCTCAAGTGGTAGTGCACCAGCCAAGCAAGTGCAAGCCCTGAATTCAAACTCTAGTACTACCACTGGCTCACGCCTGCAATCCTAGCTACTCAGAAGGCAGAGATCAGGAAGATTGTGGTTTGAAGCTTGCCTGGGCAAACAGTTCCACAAGACCCTATCTCGAAAAACCCTTCACAAAAATAGGGTTGGAGTGGTTGAAGGTGAAGGCCCTGAGTTTAAGCCCCAGTACCTCAAAAAAAAAAGAAAAAAAAAGGAAAGAAAGAAATGAAGAAATGTATCATTTGCCCAAGGTCCTCTATTTAGTGGTGAATTTGAAAAGAGAATTCTGATACTAAATTTCTAGAAGACCTTTAAAGTTTGTATCTGAAGTTGGTTGAATTATAAAATATACTTAGATGTGACTTACTTTGCTGTCCTCAGTGAAGAGCTGTGAATGTGAAGGCCACTGTGAGATAGCCAGAGTAATGGGTATTTAGGCCCTAGAGTTTGTGCAAATTTTGCTGGTGTTTGAGTGGCACCACTCATCCAGTGCTTCAGTTTGAAGAGATTTTGAAGGTCCATCCGCAGTGCCAAAAATATTGTGTGGTCTTGTTTTCTTTCAGTAATGTACGTGAAATTTTTCTTCTATAGTGAGTCCATTTTTTTCTTAGGGAAAAGTTAAGAAAAAAATAATTATGACTCAGTGGTAAAGTGCATATTTTAGTCTGGGTTGTATCTCCAGCACCATCCTAAAAAAAAAGTTTATAGGGATTTATACTAAAATGTCAACTACATTTTATTGCTGAGGAATTTACATTTAAGCTAAAGTGCTTAAATCTTTAGCAATTAAGAAAAACTTATTCAATAATCATTTACTGTTTTCAGATCATCACTAAGTATACTAACTATCAAACACTAAAAACTTGTAAGGAATTCAAGGTAGTTTGGGTTTTTTTTTCCACTTTTTTTGTCCCTCTACTAGGTGGATATGAACTTGAATGAGGAGAAGCAGCAACCTTTGAGAGAAAAGGACATTGTCATCAAGAGGGAGATGGTGTCTCAATATTTACACACCTCTAAGGCTGTGAGTCCTGGGGCAGGAACCCGTGACATGGGAGGCTGTGCCCTTATCTTGGACCTGTTTATTTTGCCAGTTTTTTTTTTTTTTATAACATCTATGTCTCCATCAATTTTGCTTCATTCCATTATATAAGCCTACTCATTTTCAATCTCTTATTTGAGTTTCTAGTCTTACATAATTGTTCACCTTCATAAATATATAGGGGGAATGAGATGGGCAATTCTGGATCTCAAATAGTTTGGTGATATGTATGATGGGTGTCAGCCTTAATTTTGAAACTATTTTCTAATACTAGTCTTCTACTTATGGCTGGGTCCAATGTTTACTAATCTGTCATACACCTCCTGACCAGGGTATGAGTCAAAAGGAGAGCTCTAGGTCTGCAGTGATGTACATTCAGGAGTTGCGATCAGGCTTGCGGGATATACCTCTACTCAGCTGTCTAGAGTCCCTTCGTGTCTCTCTCAACAACAACCCTGTCAGGTGAGAATTCTAAGGACTTAACAGTAGTAGAAACCAAATACTGTAGTTCACTGGTGATGACCAAGACCAAAGAAGTCAGGTATGAGAATAATCTGGATTTTGGAATAAAGAGTTGCCAGGATAAACTGTGTTTGTTAAGTAATATTTATTGATTTGATATTCCTTTATCTATTCCTTACAGTTGGGTACAAACATTTGGTGCTGAAGGCTTGGCCTCTTTATTGGACATCCTCAAACGACTTCATGATGAGAAAGAGGAGGCTTCTGGGTGAGGAATTCTGGGTCTTTGCATCTTCTAGATGGAGAATCATAGGGAGCTTGGCTCTCTAAAGGGGAGATAATAACAGTTAAATATAAAGTTATAGACTAAGTGAATATGCTCTTAGCTAGGAATGAGATTTGCTATAGAGATGACTAGAGAATGAATGATGATTGTAAATATAAGAAAAGGAGGAGGAGCTTAAATTTCATGATGAAAACATGGGATATAATTCACATAAGATTAATAGTCTCCCAGTATGGATCTGGAAATAGAATCTGACTTCATCCAGGTCTGTCCTATAATTCGATCTGGGTGATGTCCCATTTGGAAGTCTTAGAATATACTTGATTGGTTTGGGACTAGTTTAACAGCAGTCTTCAAAGTTGGAATAATTCTAGGAATACCTTGGACAGTTTTAGGCTGCTTGAAGAGCCAGCTTGAACCAAACTGACCTCTACCTATTGAAATCTCTCTGAGACAAAAACAGTACAGGGCTTGTACTTATTATACCTTCTCAGACATGAGTTCTTTGAAGTAGTGGAGCAAGTAGTAATAGTAGCATATTATCCTGATATACTTTAGCACTTAGGAAACTACAGGCAGTTAAAGGGTAGGGTTTTTTTGCGGGGGTTGGGGGCAGTGAGGGAGGATTGAACCCAGGGCCATGTGCGTGCTTGGTAAGTGCTCAACCACTGAGTTATACCCCCAGTTTAAAAAAAGCGGGTTTTTAATGTAATGCTAAGTTCTCAGATTACAAGAATACTAGCCAAAGGTCATTGATAATGGAGGGGAGAGGGAGTCCCTCTTCAGCTACTTATTTTTGTCAGTGTTTCTGGTCCAAAGCTTTGTACTAGACTTTTACTCAGCTATTAGTTGAGGGCATTACTAATGTTCTTATTGCAAGATGAAAATCAAATGCAAAAGGGGTATAAAATAAAAGAATGTTATTGATTATGTCTTCTATATGCAGAAACTATCGTAGCCGGAACATGCATGAGATCATTCGTTGCTTGAAAGCTTTTATGAACAACAAGGTGAGATTTTTGCATTCTCATTCCAGCCCTCATCTGGAATCCTATTCTTTCTCCTATGGCAACCCCCCAGAAAGGAAGTATAAGTAAGAGTTTCAAGATTTTTAGCTTTCCCTTTAGGACCATAACTGTTCTTTATTGCCACATATGCATGCTTCCATGAACTTCTCCCCACAGTTCTAACTTGTATTTCAGAAGGTAGGTTCAGTTATCTTCTTTTTTGTGTTCTTTTGCCAATTCTTGAATTGCCTTACCTATATTTATTTTTGGGGGGAGGTTTGCTTTATTCCTCACTATTCCCACTTGAAAATCTTTTCATTATCTTTCTCATTTGTTCAGTATTTAAAACCAGGGGAGCTCTCAATTATTTGCTTCTGAGTACAAATCTGCTTTCCTTGCTATTTAATTTTGTTATTTTACTTAACAAATAAAATTTCAATTAATTTATTCCATTGTATTGGGTATTAAAAAGAAACATACAAAATAATGATTTAATACTATGAAGACATAGAATTCTGTTGTGACTCCTAGAGAAAATTATTTTGCCATTTATATTCATCTTTATTTTTATTTATGAGGGGGACAGTACTGGGAACTGAACTCAGGACCTAGCATTTGCTAGGAAAGCGCTTTACCACTTGAGCCACGTCCCAGTCTGCTATATTCATCTTTGTTTAGCTATATTGGGAAAAGTATTCTATCCCTGTGTTATTTTACTAGAGTACAACAAATTGGGTATCTTAAAAGAAATTTATTGTCTCACAGTTCTGAAGGCTGGAAGTTCTAGATTAGGTATCAGCAGGGTTGGTTCCTGTAAAGGCTGTGAGGGACAATAAATTCCATGCCTTTCTCCTAGCTTCCTGTAGCTTGCTGGCAATCACTGGCATTCTTTGACTTGTAGATGCATCATTCTGATCTCTGCTTTATATCTCCATGTTTTCCTCATGTGTGTGTTTGGATCCAAAGTTCTCCCTTTTATAAGGAGCAGTCATATTCAGTTAGGGGCCCAACCTACTACTCTGCTATGACTTCATTGTAACTTAACTAATTCCATTTGGAATGGTTATATTACCAAAAAGGCCACATTCCAAGGTATTGGGGATAGGACTCTAGCATATGAATTTGAGGAGAATACCATTCAATCTATAACAAAACTTGCCCCTGGTTAAATGTTATCATTTTTAAGCCCCCTGTCTCTTCTTCTATCAGTTTGGAATCAAGACCATGTTAGAGACAGAAGAAGGAATTCTACTCCTGGTCAGAGCCATGGATCCTGCTGTTCCCAACATGATGATTGATGCAGCTAAGCTGCTTTCTGCACTTTGTATCCTACCACAGCCAGAGGACATGTATGTGACTCTTTTCTATTCTCATTTTTACCATCTTCTCTTAGCCTAGAGGAAACTGAATTGCTTAGGTGTCCTCTTGGTCTTAAATACTAGGTAAGATACATTTCTTCTCAGAAGTGACCACTAGAATCTTAGTGCAGTTGAGCATTCTTAATCTGAAAACCCAAAATGTTCAAAACTGTAATATTTTTGAGCTCTGTTATGATACTCCAGGTGGAAAATTCTATGCTGTGAAACTTTGTTTTGTACACAAAATTGTTTAAAAATATTGCTTAAAATTGCCTTTAGGCTTTGTGTATAAGATACATATGAAACATAAATGAATTTCATGTTTACACTTGGATCTCATTCCCAAGATAATTCATTATGTACATGCAAATATTACACATTTTAAAAATGTGAAATATGAACTATATGCCCATTTTGAATAAGGGATAGATAGCCTGTATTTAAGAAAAAGCCCTAACTGATGGTAACTATCACTGGTTATCAGAGGTATATCAGGGTATCTGGTGCATCTCCACTAAAGTCTGTTTTGTCTAGGACAAGGCTTTATACGGCCTTTGTTTTTAAATTCAGAGCCAATACTCCATTATCTTAAAAATCCAAACAATATAGAAATAGATAAAGTAAAATTTAATCAACTCATCCGTTTGCCAAATCCTACTCTGCAAAGATAACCACTTTAATGGCTTGGTATAGTCATATAGATGTTTTTCTAAGCCCAAACATTGCATTTCCTTGATTCTAATAAATCTACTACCGTCCCCAAAAGATAGTATCTTTCTCGTTTCTTTTTATTTAACAATCAATTTGGACATTCTTCTTTGTCAGACATTCTTCTTACAGATTTACCTTGTTATCTTTAGTGGCTATTTAGCCTTTCATATGTATGAATGTATGTATTTAACATTTCCCCAGTGCTGAACTTTTAGGTAGACTTTAGCAGATTCTGGCTTTATATATAACATACGGTGCTATAACAAACATTCCTGTGCATATCTTCTTTCATATGTTATTTGGAGTAGATTTCTGGTAGTAGGCCAAGTGTTATGTGCATTAGAAATCAATTCATACTAATACCCCTCAGAAAGTTGAACCAGTTTATACTTCATAACATTGGGGTCTTAATTTGGTATTCTTGAATGGGAGTCTAGGACTGGGTTTTAGGAAATACATTTTTCTCAAGAGATGGTCCATTGCTTTTTACAAATTCTAGCCCCTGCTGTAGGGGTGGTAAGACAATAATTTGAAAAATTTGAGGCATTGATAATATCCTGTTTCATAACTGGTCTATGCCCTGTGTAATCTACCCATATGTGTTAGAACACTTGGGCAGTTCTCTCCCTTTCTTTCTCTGGACAGGAATGAAAGAGTTTTAGAGGCAATGACAGAGAGAGCTGAAATGGATGAAGTGGAACGTTTTCAGCCACTGCTGGATGGATTAAAAAGTAGGACCTCCATTGCACTGAAGGCATGTATATCCCTTGAAAGTGGGCCAAAAAATAGAGTTCAAGATGGAAGGACCTATGTTCATTTGCCTTTTAGGGGTTGGGGATGGTGGATTCATACTTTCTAGCTATATACCCCCGGCTGGCCTGGAGCTCACTGTGTAGCTCAGGTGGACATTGAACTCATGATCATCCTGCCTCGGCCTCCCAACTGCTGGGATTACAGTTGTGAAGCACCATGCCTGGCTTTATTTGACCCTTTAAGAGAAAATATGGAGTTCTCACCTATGTATCTCATATTTCAGAAATTGTTCTGAAAGGAAAATGATTAATCTTTTCTCTAAAAAGGTAGAGAAAAAACTCTTCCTCATTGTGAGATGAAAAAAGGCATGGTATCTGTTTACACATTAGGAAAACCAAGGCTGCACAATAATGTACCATCAGGACCTTAGAATCATGTATGTTTCTGAGCTCTACAGACCTATCCTTAAACCAGGTCTCAGTGTTCTAGTTGAGAATTTATTCCTGTAGTTTTTGTACTGTATCTTCTATGTTATATTTGGGAGCCTTGAATGCCTATAAAGAGAATGGAATCTTGATCTATAGAGTTTAGCATTTATACTCTTGTTTTAGGTGGGATGCCTACAGCTGATCAATGCTCTCATCACTCCAGCCGAGGAACTTGACTTCCGAGTTCACATCCGAAGTGAACTGATGCGCTTAGGCCTGCATCAGGTTTTGCAGGTAAGATATAATACTTCATTAGAAAGGCTGGGGTGGTTCCTTCCTGTTTTTACAACAAAAGCATTCCTAGGATAACTCTGGTTTTCCACATAAAAACCAGATTGAAAGATTTGGGCTTCTAGCCACAGAGGACTTTTGGTTCCCTAACTTAATTTGTCATTGACAGGACCTTCGAGAGATTGAAAATGATGATATGAAAGTGCAACTAAATGTGTTTGATGAGCAAGGGGATGAAGATTTCTTAGACCTGAAGGCACGACTGGATGATATTCGCATGGAGATGGAATATCCTTTTACTGACTGGGTTCAAGACAGATAGACATTCCTTGTATTCAGTTACAGACTGAATGTTTAGAATGCTGTGGGAAATGATGACTTAGAACAGGGCATAATGTTTGTGTCTTCTTAGTAAAAAAGGCAAGTGACTTTCGTCTTTGTTTACCTCAGCATAGATTAAGGAAGTCATTAAAGATGATCTGAGGGTTGTTCAACATGGAAGCAGCAATAAAAATCTCTGTAAACTTCTGGAACATGATTGCTTAGCTTACTGAGATGTAGAGCTTCTTTTTAATAGAAATTTTTTGGCTGATAGGGTGTATAATACCATTTTTGGTTACTTGCCCAAGTGACTTTGAGGTGGTTATATATTTAGTTCCTGTCTTAAATCTGCTTGATCTTCAAGCCAGATACTAGGAATCCTCTGTCTCTGTGGCTAGTACCACCTTTGCTTAAGGGAAATTATTTTCTGGTCATGTTTACAGATTGAATAGCCATTAGAGTGGAAGTGGCATCTTGCTACTTTCCCTTGGCTTGTCTCAGAGTTGAGCGAGCCACCTGTCAAACATAGTTTCTAAATACTTGCTTTCCTTAGCTTATCTCCCTTTCCACTGACTTTAGTGAAGTCTTTCAGATTCTCTTAAACACAGTGAAGGATTCAAAGGCAGAGCCACACTTCCTGTCTATCCTACAACACCTATTGTTGGTCCGAAATGACTACGAGGCTAGGTAAGCTGATGTGCCAGTGGGAAGTTTTGAATTTGAGCCTCAGTGGAGAAAATGGAACCCTTAAATTCAAAGATTGTTCTGTCGAGCGCAAGTGGCCTATAATCCTAGTTACTGGGGAGGCTAAGATCAGGAGGATTGCAGTTCTTGCGAGACCCCCATCACAACAGAAAAAGCTGGGCATGGTGGCACACACCTGTTGTCCTAGCTACTGTGGGAAGCATAAATAGGAGCATCATCTAGTTTGGCCCAGGCAAAAAGTGAGATCCTGTCTCAGAATAACCAGAGCAAAAAGGGTTAGAGGTGTGGCTCAAACAGTATGGTACCTGCCTAGCAAGCATGAAGCCCTGAGTTCAAACCTTAGTCCTGCCAAAAGGAAGAAAGAAAGAAAAAAAAGACTTGTATAAGGGAAAAAGAAAAGGCAAAGACCATGGATTGGGGTTCATTAGTCACAGATATAAAGGAAGTTGTCATTTGTCCCTTTAATTCAACTGAAAGGCATTCCTATGGAGAAGTCAGTATGTAAAGTAAAATGCCCCTCCTTTTTCAGAAGGGAGCGGGTAGGTGGAGTGAGGATGATAAAGGGAGGTAGCAATTTAAAATTCTTTTTGTTTGTCTGGAAGTAGAGATTCAGTGATAGCAATATATTTCCTTCATAGGAAAGATGAAGTCTGAATATTTAGATGGGAAAGTATTGGCATTAGGAGGCAGATGTTAAGGACTGTGTGTGTGTGTATTGCCAGGGATTGAATCCAGAGTCTTACACATGCTAAGCACATGCTCTACCACTGAGCTACACACACGGCCCCTAAGAACTTTTGATTATCTGAAGTAGAAAGGATGGAAGCTCATGTGGAAGAAGGAATTTCTTAGCACAGCAGTGATGCTTCTGTTAATCTTACAAAAAGTTCTTTTCCAGAGCACTTACTTTCAGGTCTCTTTACTGTCAAAGCAGTTAGTTTTTCCTGATCCTGAGTACTTCTGAAAATTACATTTTGATTTCCCTTTGATAATTCTATTTTGTTTCTTCTACAGACCACAGTACTATAAGTTGATTGAAGAATGTATTTCTCAGATAGTTCTGCACAAGAATGGGGCTGATCCTGATTTCAAGTGTCGGCATCTCCAGATTGATATCGAGGGACTGATTGGTAAACATACACTTCTGTCTGGTTCCTCAAAACATTCATTGTTTCTACCTTTCGTTTTACATTTTTTCTTTCAGTGAAAATTTGAGAAAAGAAATCATTACAGTCCCTAGATATTTCCATTTTTATCCTTTCCTAGGTCATAACCAACAGCTTTGCTAGGAATATACAATCCTTTGGTTGATTTCTACATAAGTCTAAAAACCTGTCCTTTTAACACATTACCTTTTTTCAGGGACTTCAGCTATTATCTGTGACTCCTGCTGGTCTCAGGGAATCATAAATATCACTCACAAGCATTCTGATAGCTTTACCTTGCACTTAGAAATTATAGGTTAAACTTACCTGAAAGTTTTATTTCTTATTCTTATGCAGAACATTAAGAAAAATAATACCAGTAACCATGGGACAGAAGACTTCTTCAGTATAGTGAAGAGTTTAGGAATGAGAGGGGAAGACCAAGAGAACTGGTAGCTTCACTTACTTACCCTTTCTTTTCAGATCAAATGATTGACAAAACAAAGGTGGAGAAATCTGAAGCCAAAGCTACAGAGCTGGAAAAAAAGGTGTGTTTTGGGGGTAGGGGATAGAGAACTTGCCCCAGGTTTGATCTCTAGCACCACCAAAAGAAAAAAGTAGTTTGAAATATATCCTTCTTTTTCTGAGGTTGTTATTTTTCTGACATATGAGATAGTTTTTGTCCATATTTTGGAAGCATTCAGCATCCAATAGTTAGTAGGGTAAAACCTTTTCAGTTTCTCAGTTTTAAGTTTATTTTTGGAGAAGGTGACACAGATATGAACATGAGGAGCTGGAGGTGGGTTTGTATAGTTCTTGGGCCACCAGGCAGGATAATAAAGACAAATGATACTCTTAAAGATAATGTCTCTCAAGTGTCTTATCCCTTGGAGATAGGAACTAGAATATGTCTGAGTTCTCTTTTGTCTCTCCAGATGTTAAGACTCTTATTGTGGCTGGTAGGTTTTTGATCCTAGAATCCTAGAGACTACTGGGATTATCCATCATAGCTGTCCTGATTAGAGGTCTTTCAAATCTTAGGGTATTTTATTTTTGTTTTTTGTTTTTTTTTAAACTATAAAAATAGAAAGACTGTGACAATGATCTCTGCTTCTTCTCCCTTTCCCTTGATTTTAAAGTCAAAATCATACTGCTCTTTTTTCCAAGGCATTGCCTGGCATATGGGTCAGTGAGCTCTATAGAGCAAGTATTGGCACAAAATAGGAAATTAGAGGAACAGCACTTGTACTCCATACTGGAATGAAGAGTTTTCTGAGAACCCATTTCCTTTATTCTTTAGCTGGACTCAGAGTTAACAGCTCGACATGAGCTACAAGTAGAAATGAAAAAGATGGAAAGTGACTTTGAGCAGAAGCTTCAAGATCTTCAGGGAGAAAAGGATGCATTGGATTCTGAAAAGCAACAGGTTGTGACAGAGAAACAAAACCTGGAAGCAGAGGTGTCCCAGCTCACAGGAGAGGTAATGTCTGAAGGGAGAAAGCAGAGTGCCTGTAATTGTCCTCCACAGCCTCTGTCTGCACAGGTCTTGGAGCTGGAGTCAGTCATCTTGCTGCTGAGGAGAGAGCAACTACTACTGGGTAGATGGGGCATATTTTTTAAAGCATTTGTTGTTTTTGGTTTTGTTTTGGGAGTAATAATACATAACAAAAAATTTAGAAAATATAGAAAAACATAAAGAATAAAATGAGTTACTCATAGCTCTACTCAGAAGTAAATGTAATAGACTTCTAATAAATTTAGGAGAAAGATAAATTGGTTGGGCTGGAAATGGTGGTATAAGTCTCTAATCCTAGCTACTTGGGAGACAGAGATTAGAAGGATCCCAGTTCAAGGCCAACCCAGGCAAAAAAGTCATTGAGAACCCCCATCTCAAAAAATAAAATCGGGGCTTCGTGGCAGGCACCTGTCATCCCAGCTACACAGGAAGCATAAGTAGGAAAATTGCAGGCTGGCCTGTGCATAAAGCGAGACCCTATCTGAAAAATACCTAAAAGCAAAAAGGTCTGGCATGGCCCAAGCAGAAGAGTGCCTGCCTAGCAAGCACAAGGCCCTGAGTTCAACCACCAGTACTACCAAAAACAACAACAAAAAACCCGAAACTGTTACGTATTTGCTAATTTTCCCTTATTTTAGTAGTCCGTGAACAGATTTATTCTCACCCTCCCTGTGATCATCACTTATATGCTTATATAACTCGAATATTTTTATTTACTTAGCCTTTACATTTTCTAATCAAAAGGAGACTTTAACATAAAAGTTGAAGTTGTCTTTTTTTTTCTTTTTTCCAATACAAAGCATATTGAACTAAGAACATGAAAACTTGTTCTAGTTTGAAATCTGCTACTAAATAGCAGTGTGACTTTAGGTGAATCATGTGATCTATCTGATTGCTCTTAGTCCTTCTATGTATAAAATGAGAAGTTTGTATTAAGTGGTTTCTTAGGTTCCTTCCAGCCCTAGTGGTCCCTGAAGTGGGGTAAGAGGTACTTACCTTAGTGTTCTTTCTACAGGTTGCCAAGCTGTCAAAAGAACTGGAAGATGCCAAAAAAGAAATGGCTTCTCTATCTGCTGCAGCTGTTGCTGTAGCTCCTCCTGTTCCTACTAGTGCTGCTGTTCCCCCGTCCCCTCCTCTACCTAATGACTCTGGCACTGTTATTTTACCCCCAGCCCCTCCTTTACCAGGAGAGGTTAGCACAGCTCCCCCACCTCCTCTTCCTGGAGATAGTACCATTCCTCCTCCACCACCTCACCCTTCTTTGCATGGGAGTGTTTGCCTCCCTGCATCTTCTTCGCTTATAGGTGCTAGCATCCCCCCACCCCCTCCTTTGCCTGGGGATGCTGGTATCCCTCCACCCCCTCCTTTGCCTGGGGATGCTGGTATCCCCCCACCCCCTCCTTTGCCTGGGGATGCTGGTATCCCCCCACCCCCTCCTTTGCCTGGGGATGCTGGTATCCCTCCACCCCCTCCTTTGCCTGGGGATGCTAGTATCCCTCCACCCCCTCCTTTGCCTGGGGATGCTGCTGGCATCCCCCCACCTCCTCCCTTGCCTGGAGGGCTAACAGTGCCCCCTCCCCCTCCCCCTCTTCCTGGTGGTCCTGGAATACCTCCACCCCCTCCATTTCCTGGAGGTCCTGGCATTCCTCCACCTCCACCCGGAATGGGTATGCCTCCACCTCCCCTCTTTGGATTTGGAGTTCCTGCAGCCCCAGTTCTGCCATTTGGATTAACCCCCAAAAAAGTTTACAAGCCAGAGGTGCAGCTTCGGAGGCCAAACTGGTCCAAGGTGAGAGTTTGTATCCATTTCTTCATCAATAGATCTTAAGAAACAACTTCAACCAGGTGTAGTGGGTACACACCTGTAATCCCAGCACTCAGGAGGCTGAGCAGAAATATCGAGAGTTCCAGGCCAGCTGGGGCTACATAGTGGAGACCCTGTCCCACACCTGGGTTTTGGGATCCCACAAAACCCAGCACTTCAGTTTGCTACTTAGTATTTTGTGCATGAGTGCCTCATGTCTAGCTCATGTGTGTCTTATTTTCAAGTTCCACTTGTGCTTACATTTATTCAGCATCTCTCGATTTCAGATATTACCAAAGAGAATTCTACAAGCACTGTACTCTGAACTTTACCAAACTAAACTTATCCTAAGTTAATTTTTTGCCTTTTCTCTTGAGGATAAGAGTACCAGGTAACACATAGTTTGACAGTAGTCACTTGACTAGTGTGCAAGTGACCAAAATTGTGCTGATTCACTTCCCATGGTAAGGGTTAGTTAGACCATGTTTGTGTGGCCCATGATATGTTTGAGACCTCTGTGATACTGAGTCAGCCTTTTACTTCCAGAAACTAAGTTAAAATAAAGTTAGTCAACTTGATGGAAAAATGTAGAGCAAAGGAAGATGTCAAGTAAATCTTTAATAGTTCTGAAACTAGATGACTTGGGGTTAGAAGGAAAACAAGTAGCACAACTGAATCTAGTTTTTAACTCCTTACCAATAAACAAACTAGATCTCTCCTGATCTTCCACAAAGTGTACAGGTGTTCTCTCAGGTTGGCCTCACTCTATTAAACCATTGCTGATAACTGGCTCAGTTACCTCATGTGTATCATGATCAGTTTTCTAAGATTGAAAGGTCAGGGTTCAGCTTAGTAACTCTTAATACTGTGTATATCCACAGTTTGTAGCTGAGGATCTTTCCCAGGACTGCTTCTGGACAAAGGTGAAGGAGGACCGCTTTGAGAACAATGAGCTTTTTGCCAAACTTACCCTTACCTTCTCTTCCCAGACCAAGAGTGAGTACTGACCTCTTTATTGCCAGGGTCTAGTGTAGGGGCTAGAATATCCCTTAAGTGTGTTTTCCACTCTCTTCCTTTCCCTGGGTGAGAGTGGAAAAAGGAATGTTGGGTGGAAGAGAGATGTGTTTTCATATTCAGAAGAAAATAAGACATTTTTGTATTACGGTGTTTTTGGGGTTGTGAAAGAGACCTCTGTTGCATGTAGGTATTCTGTGTCAGAATAACTGTGAGGATATGAAATTAAGGTGCCACAAGTTCAGTTTGAGCCAATTTTGATGATACTCTTGAACAGATTCTGGGACTGCCTTTAAGATGCCATTCTTCAGAGTGTAGTACTTGATTAGTGAGAGCTAGAGAGAGTCTTTAACAGGTTAGGTGGCTGAGCAACTATCTGTAATAACAAAGAACCATGTTGTGATTTTTTTTTTTCTTCTATTTCTTAATATCTGATGCATTCTCCCTGCTGGTCCTTTGTTCCTGAAGCTTCTAAAGGTAAGAATTTAGAAGAGCTTTTCAGTTGGGTCTCTTGAATGTTAGAGAAAAAGATGGAGCAAATGTAAAGTACTTTCTCTTTGGAAAGTAAGACCAGAGATTGACGGTTGATTTTTCTTCTGGAGTCCAAAAAGACCAGTAGTAATGGGTGTTAACTAACAGGGAAGAAAGTTATTTTAAGTTGAAGCTATCATATACTTGTTCCTTTTAATACTATTACTTTACACTGTGTTGTGTTTTATACATATTATCACCCTATTTTAACCTGCAGTGCAGCCTTGAGGCAGGTAGATGTGTGCTTTCTCCATTCTGTAGCATGTGTAGATGGAATAGTTAGATAGCTTTCGTGGCCAGACAGGTGTTTTGACTTCTAGTCCACAATTTCTATATAAATTATTGCTTTTCTTTTTTACCTTCATCATATTCCCCTTTATTTTAAAAGTTTAGATTTTTATCAGGAAAGGAATTTCAAGCTCTCAAAACTTAGAAAGTAAAGTCCCAGATCTCTTCAGTATGACAGCAAAGGTTATTTTACTCCCAGTGCTTTAAACATTGTTAGTATAAGTATTTCAGAAAAAGACTTTTGATCTCAATCCTTCAGTATTGAAGAAATAGTTCTTCAATACTGAAGTGAACATTGAACCAGTTCAGTGGAGTGTTTTATTTTGTTTTTTTGCTAGGACTAAACTAGGGTCTTGCCACACACTGAGCTACGCTCACATCCCTCAGTTCCATTTAAATACTAAAACCAGTGTCAATTACCAAATCTCTCATTCGTAGTCTTAATGTTGATGATATAATTAAATGATAAACACTCATTGATGCCCTGTGAATATTCTATCCTCTAGATGAAGAAATAGAGAAATGGGTTAAATAACTTTTTCAAGACCATGTATTAAGTGCCATGGTTCAAACTCCAGACTTATGACTGAAGTTTTTTCTCTTGCCCTCTGCTTCCCAGAAATGTATGTGTTTACTCTGGGAGCATCTGAAAGCTTACATCCAGACAAAAGTTGCAGGCTCATTTCAACCATTACATTCATTTAGGCACAAATATCTAATTGGCAGGAACTCTTCCAGGTTTTTTAAAAAAAAAGTGAATAATAGATTAGGGAAAGCAGATTAGATACTGAATGTTTAGGGTTATAGTGGAAGAGCTATCAAAACTAGTCTAGTTGGAGAAATAAGACATGTTTATCTAGGACAGTAGAAGCATTACTGAGGTGATTTCAGTACAGTAAGTTGCTAGTGTTGATGAGAAAGTTATTTGAACACTAGATTTTCATCATTTACAGTATTTCTTCACTTGCTTGCTAAACACAACTTTCTGCTATTTGTTTAACATGCCTATATCCTCTATATGTTTTATTGATAACCTAAAAACTCCTGTATATCTACTGGCGCCTCTAAGAATGGGCAATGGGAAAAACACCTATCTCATTCTACACATCTGCCTCCTTTAGTCAAAGGTGCTTCCAGCCACTCTTTCAGTAAGGTTTAAGAATGTTTGTCTGCCAGGCATGGTGGTGCATGCTGCGATCCCACCTGCTCAGGAGGTTAAGGAAGGAGGATTGCAAGTTTGAGGCCAGCCTGGACAACTTTTTGAGACCCTGTCTCAAAATAAAATTTTAAAAAAGCTAGAATATCTCTCAGTGGTGAAGCACTTGTCTAACATGTTTGAAGCCCTGGGTTCAATCCTCAGTACTAGTACCAAAAAAAAAAGTGTGTCTCTTACTAGAGAAGAGCTAAAAGACAAGAACTGGTACTAAAATTTATACAACAGGTTTTCCTACACAGTATTTCTCTCAAGTATTTCTTGTTTCCTATAAATTACTTCCTATAAATTAGGGATTTATTTGTTAATTGTATTAAATTCAGATTTGATGGACAGTACCCTTTCACTTTCTCAGTTTCTTTGTACTGATAAGCAAGTAGTCTTTTTCCTGTTTTCTTGTTCATTTGTGTTAGTATATATTCATTGCTAATTGGCAAGGAGTCATTTATCATGGACTTTGTTGACCTCTGTTTTTGAATTCCTTAGACACTAGTAGTTAAATTTCATTTTCATCTTCTCCAAGGGAGAATTTTCATTTTTGTAGCCGCCTCAGACAGGTCATTATTTGTATATACAATACAACTTTTTATTCTGCTTTCCTTCCAAGTCTTTCTTTAGTTGATGAGATGATTAAAACTGTCATCTCTTAAACCATAGTATGGTGAATGATAACTGATGGCCTAAGTGACTTTTCTTTTAGATACTCCTTTTTTTGTTTTTTTTTTTTTCTGGTGGTACTTGGGTTTGAACTCAGGGCTTCACCATTGCTAGGCAGGCACTCTACCACTTGTGCCACTCCACCAGCCCTTTTCTGTGTTGGGTATTTTTGATATAGGGTCTCAGGAACTATTTGCCCTAGCTGACTTTGATCGCGATCTTCCTCATCTCTGCATCCTGACTATCTAGGACTACAAGCGGTAGCCGCAAGCACCCAGCTTCCAAAACCTTTTTGAACTCATTAGTAGGTGTTAGTGGACAACATGGAGCATTACACTTGGTAAAGTATGAGGAACTAAGAGCATCAGAACAGTTCTCCATGTATTTAGTGGCAATAATTTAGAAAGACTTATGAGAGTTTCATTAAAAAGAAACAGTATTCTATTTAGAATGTGATTGTAAGTCCAAATCCCAAGGCTTATACTGTTGTACTCAGGGACAATGGGTTGTTCCCTACCCATTGTCAACAAGGGGTAGGTTTACCTATCTGCTGCTTTTTGTATAACTTCCTTCTTTCACCTTCTGACTTCCAACAGGAGCCCATGGTGGAGAGCAATCCTTTCTAAGGGTGTTTTTCTTTTTCCCCCCTGTGATTTTCTTCTGTCCACTAGGTGGCACTCACTCAGTTGGATTCTGCCACTTTAACTTTTAGAAACAAGTTTTAGAAAAACTAAACCTGCTCCACCATTGTCATTGAGTCTCTTGGTAGAAAGATATCTGTTCCTTATTTCTAGTATAAGGAATTAAGATTGGAAGTACTATTCAAATAAGCACTTACCGTATTTTAATTATTAGCTTATTTTGGGGTTTGAGTAGTATAAGACTATTAGCACAAAGGACTCAGGAAATTTATATTGATATTAGTCCCTTGTGGTCTAAAACCATAGAACTATCCCTGTCAACTGGGGCTCCAAGAGTCCTGCTCATGGAATCATATTGGATGTCCTCTGAGTTATCATCTCCCTGTCATCAGTGATATAAAAAATGGAGCCTCTATACTCCCACCTTGACATCATCTAATATTATGCCATTTATCTTAGGTTATGTCACTCTCCACAGGAAGCTCCAGACTCTCAGCTCACCCTTCATCTCCTATATTTTCAATTCCTAAAAGGTTCTGTGTATTTCCTCTTCTGTCTCTCGCATTCCACTAAACTCTGAAAAACATACCTCTGTGCCCTCTGGAATTTATGATCCAATACTAGCAAAATCTCTTATGTTATCAACTTCACCATGCTCTAATAGAAACCTGACTTTCCCTTAACACTGCTTTCCCTTTTGCTCTTTCATGGGTTTTCTTTCCACCTCTAAGCCTCATCCCATTGGGCCTAGAAATGGGGTAGATATCCTCTTTGTTTTTCATTGCCACTTTTAGATCATTCTTTCTCTTTCTTAACAACCAACAGTTTCTAATCTCAGGACATAAGTTCATATTATCCATTTCTCTTTGGGTTGTCATCTACAAATACCCTAAGTTACCCCTTACTTCTCAGTAACTTAAGAAATAATTCAGCTCCTGGCTCCTGGCCACTCCAATATTCCAGTACTGCTTCTGATATAATTTCAGCAATAGCTATATAAAAGAGTCACGATTCTACCAGTATTCTGGCATCAGGATTCTTTGAATTCTTCTCTTGATCTTGTCCTCTGTTCTATCTCACCTATTCTCTACTATGGTCATTACAAATAACTGGAGTGCTTTCACGATTTCAATTTCTTACCATCCATGTCTGTCTTGTCTTGGTATCTTCTCTAGTGTTCTGACCCCACCAGTTCTCTTGCTACACTGGAACCTCCTTGATAACTTTACTCTTCTCACATAAAATTCCATGGCTGATCATTATAATGATCATTCTCTTGGTATTTTTCTTCCATTATTTATCTCATTTCGTCTCGCAAAACCACAGTTCTGGCTAATTCCACCTTTGTCCACCCTGCATCTATACTGAGAAAACTATATGCTGGTTGCCTTGATACACTTTCTTCACTTGGCTTTCAGCAAGTACTCTTTATTTTTCTTCCTATCTCACTGGCTGCCTTTTTTCCTTTCTCTCCTCTGCTTAGTTTGTCATGTTGCTTGGTCCTTGATATTGCCAGATAGTCGTATATATAGCTATATTTTTTTGTTTTGTGTTTTGGTGTTACTGGGGTTTGAACTCAGGGCCTTGGGCTTGCAAATCAGGCGTGCTACCACTTGAGCCATTCCACCAGCTCCAGACAGTCGTATTTTAAGCATTTCTAATCCATTGAGCTTCCTGTTCCTATTTTTCTAAATGATTATTTCACAGATTTTATCTCCTCAAAGGCCTAACACCTTCCTCATCCTCATCCTCAAAACATTGAGAATGTTTCTCTGTACTTAATTGAGAAAATTAAAGCAATCAGAATTATTACTTTTCCCTACTTTCTTTGTCTTCTTCCCTATTACCATGGTCCTGTCTAAGGTAGTCCCTAGACTAATGTGGTATCTTCATTTCAACAAATGTATCCAGTACACCTAAAATATAAAGTAAAAAAATCTCTCTCACCTACAGAGAAGATGGTTAATCATGCCTTTCATGTGCACATGTTATTCTAAAATTAGGTCAGGTTTAATTCACGTGAGAAACTGTTGAAAACTGTACTACAACCTTACTGGATAATTAAGGAGCAAGGGAGTTAAAAGATAAAATTACAGAAATGTGAGCACATACACACTTTTTTTTAAAAAGCAGACTGATTCCTCATG